TGGTGTAGAATTGTCGTTCACATCAAGTCCCTAACGCGCTAATACAATTGGTGCACGCTGGTCCAATTACAAGGCGTGTATTATATATTATAAAATAACCTGATCAGCCGCTTAATGAGGCCAGGTAGCATGGATGGCTGGTATGGGTGGTTGAGGTGGATGGCTGAATTCGATGGTTTGGATGTATGGGTCAAGTGGTTGATATGGATGATTGGTGTGGCTGGTTGAGGAGGTAGGCTCACGAATTAGTGATGGGTCATTACCTTGGGTGGATGGTTGACACGGGTGTGGTTGAATTGGATAGTTTACATGGATGGTTAATGGGGAGAACTAGCGAGGATGGTTAGTGTGTACTGTTGGTGTAGGACGCTATATGAATATCCGTGTATAGAGAAACCCTTTTGACAGTCGCAGTAAAATATGACCAATAATAAAAATAAAATAATATTAATAATAATAATAAAAATAATAATAATAAAAATAATAATAATAATAATAATAAAAATAATAATGATACATCAAATGTTACTATTAAGATATTAAACACAAATTCATCTACATTTTAGAACCCCATTCCCTACAACTCCAAAAACATTTCAAAATACATCATACAACATACTAAAATACAGCGAACCATCCATCTACAATTTAATTATTCTGGAGATCGCTGGCAACCCTGACATTTTGTTTCCACATTACAATTTTATTCCCTTTTTTTTTTTTTTTTTTTTTTTACTTTTTTTCCCCGCGTATGGTAATGTTGCAATTTCCCATTTCATTTCCGTTTTTTATTGCTATTTTTTCCCTGGTGATAAATTAGACTTTCGCCATCACACAAAAGGTTTTTCAATGTTTTTCTTTGTTTTACGTCTGTCAAAATTCCTTTCGTTCATTTCGTCAATTGCCTATATTTTCTTCCTGTCGTTTAGGTCCAATCAGAAATTATTGGTTAATTATATTAGAATTGTCTTTCAAACTCAAGTATATGGCAAGGTTAAAAATGAATAAACTCTTTTGTAATTTTTTCTTTTTTAACAAACACACTATTTGGTATCATTCATTATTTTCGCCACCTTTCGTCCCCTCACCTTCGTCGCACGCACGCACGCACGCACGCACGCACACACACACACACACACACACACACACACACACACACACACACACACACACACACACACACACACACACACACACACACACCTATGGGGCCTCGTAGCCTGGTGGATAGCGCGCAGGACTCTTAATTCTGTGGCGCGGGTTCAATTCCCGCACGAGGCAGAAACAAATGGGCAAAGTTTCTTTCACCCTAAGTGCCCCTGTTACCTAGCAGTAAATAGGTACCTGGGAGTTAGTCAGCTGTCACGGGCTGCTTCCTGGGGTGTGTGTGTGTGGTGTGGAGAAAAAAAAAATAGTAGTTAGTAAACAGTTGATTGACAGTTGAGAGGCGGGCCGAAAGAGCAAAGCTCAACCCCCGCAAAAACACAACTAGTAAACACACACACACACACACATACACACACCACAGAAACCATCTCATAAACAGAAACAAAATGCCTGAAGATTCAAGGGACGCCGCCGATTTCAAAGAAGCGGAGAATTAAGCTCTCAAGACCCCAGGAAATTGAGAGCGGGATTTGTGGAGATGGAAGGTAGGATCATCTTAAGGGACCAAACGGGTCCCCAGACCAGATTCACAGACCAGTCTCATCACTGCAGCAGTTCTCATCGTAGGACCAAATGGGTCCCCCCTGATCAAATAATCTAATTCTCCAGACCATGGTCAGGAATCGTCATATATGGAGCCACTAACGATACATATATACATGTACATATTTCCTTAATCATGGTGACATTGTTTACATGCGATAGTTCACGAGCTTCGATCCTTCACAATCCAAAGTTATTATTGCTATAAACAACCTTGTAGTAGTTAAGAACTCTTAAACTGTTTCATAAATGTAAACAAAGGCGTTATGATTGAGAAAAAGATGTACAGGTTCATCTTTCATCTTCTAGAGATGTATAGTTGAGGATGTGTACATGTTGTGATTCCATGTGATTTGTAATCTTACTTCTTAGCACGCTTTCAAAGATTTTTTTTGTGTGTGAAGTTAGATCTATTGGTCTAAATTTTTTTGCATCTGCTTTGCTACCTCCTTTGTAGTGGCACGATCCGTGCTGTTATATGTCGGGGATGACACCAGTATCTAGGTTCCGTGTCCAAAAGATGTTCAGGGGCCTGTGATAATGGAGTTTTGCACTTCTTGGTGAATATAGAATTCGAGGCGTTTGGGCCTAATGCCGAGTGCATGGGTATGCTGTCTATGGTTATTTTAAAGTCTAGTGGGGTTAGGGTGACATCTGATTAGAGGGTTCGATGTTGGTGTCATGAAGAATTCGTTTGGATTATTAATCTTCAATGTGGTCAGGAGTACATTGAAAACAGAATCGTACTGAAGCCTCGGTACTTCATTCATTTCTTTGTCATCAGTGAAAGTTCCATCACCCTTGCGCCAGGGCCCAATGCTGGATGTAGTTTTTTGTTCAAGTTTTTGCATAGGAGAAAAAGTATTTCAGATTCTTTTCTAGTTTACTTATGGCCTTTTGCTCTCTTGGCCTCTCCTGGATTGTATATAATATTCTTGTAGCTTGAGCTCGATCATTTCTATTTCTCTACAAAGTCTTCCTCGTCGTTGTTGGTATAGAGTGGAGCGTTTGAGGTGTTCTGAGAGTTGTCGTCTTCGCCTATAGAACGAAACACCGTTCTCGCTCCAGTTTGCATCTGTTTCTCTCTTAGTGGCATATGCCTAATTCTACATATTTCTAGTGCTACTCTGCCCATTTTCTGGAAGCACTGGTTGAAGCTTGCATTATCTAGCTGTTCTTCCCAGCATATTTCGGCGAAATCTTGGTTTATTCGTTCCTAGGTAATCAGCTTAGTATTTAAATTGAATTTATTGAATTCTCCCCCTCTTGTATTTGAGACTGGCTGCAAGGTCTATTGCCCATGTCTGTCTGATTTTCGATTAGGTTGTGATCTGAGTAACATGTATTTGTAATCATTGCCTCTTAATCAGTTAATCATTGTTTGTAAAAAAAATATGCTCTAGGGTGTTTTCTTTAATGGTTCTACTATTTGCTGGTTTCAAGCAAGTCTGTCACACACATCTGCAAAAGGTCATTTGTGTATGACTTCATGCAGACTGCTTCCTGGGATTCACTCTGCTATAACAGTATTTATTATTTTTTCCATTTTAAATGCCTTAAATTGAAGTGACCAAGCAACATGATGTTTGGGGCAGGGTTTGTGAGGGGTTTCTAAGCAGTGAGTACATATTCTACTTTCATAGGTTGGTCTTTAAAACTGCTGAGGATTTGCATCTGGTGATTTATATACAAGAACAATCACCATATTTAGAATTTCTATGTTGACCAATAGTATCAAATGGTACAATGACACCCTTCATCATGGTGTATAACATCCAATGGTACAATGACACCCTTCATCATGGTGTATAACATCCAATGGTACAATGACACCCTTCATCATGGTGTATAACATCCAATGGTACAATGACACTCTCCATCATGGTGTATAATATCCAATGGTACAATGACATACTCCATTACATTATTTGTGTATAACATCCAATGGTACAATGACACTCTCCATCATGGTGTATAACATCCAATGGTACAATGACACTCTCCATCATGGTGTATAACATCCAATGGTACAATGACACTCTCCATCATGGTGTATAACATCCAATGGTACAATGACACTCTCCATCATGGTGTATAACATCCAATGGTACAATGACATACTCCATTACATTATTTGTGTGTGACGGAAAGGGTTCGAGATTCGAACCCTCATTACGGCCCTTGTGGATTTGTTCATTTGACATACTCCATGTTCAATAACATACAATGGTACAATGACACCCTCCATCATGGTGTATAACAAACAATGGTACAATGACACCCTCCATCATGGTGTATAACAAACAATGGTACAATGACACCCTCCATCATGGTGTATAACAAACAATGGTACAATGACACCCTCCATCATGGTGTATAACAAACAATGGTACAATGACACCCTCCATCATGGTGTATAACACAATGGTACAATGACACCCTCCATCATGGTGTATAACAAACAATGGTACAATGACACCCTCCATCATGGTGTATAACAATGGTACAATGACACCCTCCATCATGGTGTATAACAAACAATGGTACAATGACACCCTCCATCATGGTGTATAACAAACAATGGTACAATGACACCCTCCATCATGGTGTATAACAAACAATGGTACAATGACACCCTCCATCATGGTGTATAACAAACAATGGTACAATGACACCCTCCATCATGGTGTATAACAAACAATGGTACAATGACACCCTCCATCATGGTGTATAACACAATGGTACAATGACACCCTCCATCATGGTGTATAACAAACAATGGTACAATGACACCCTCCATCATGGTGTATAACAATGGTACAATGACACCCTCCATCATGGTGTATAACAAACAATGGTACAATGACACCCTCCATCATGGTGTATAACAAACAATGGTACAATGACACCCTCCATCATGGTGTATAACAAACAATGGTACAATGACACCCTCCATCATGGTGTATAACAAACAATGGTACAATGACACCCTCCATCATGGTGTATAACAATGGTACAATGACACCCTCCATCATGGTGTATAACAAACAATGGTGCAATGACACCCTCCATCATGGTGTATAACAATGGTACAATGACACCCTCCATCATGGTGTATAACAAACAATGGTGCAATGACACCCTCCATCATGGTGTATAACAATGGTACAATGACACCCTCCATCATGGTGTATAACAAACAATGGTACAATGACACCCTCCATCATGGTGTATAACAAACAATGGTACAATGACACCCTCCATCATGGTGTATAACAAACAATGGTACAATGACACCCTCCATCATGGTGTATAACAATGGTACAATGACACCCTCCATCATGGTGTATAACAATGGTACAATGACACCCTCCATCATGGTGTATAACAAACAATGGTACAATGACACCCTCCATCATAAAACGTAAGTCTGGTTAAGCTTGATCGTTAATTACTTACGAATAATCTACTTATTCATCGTTCATTAAATTTGAAATTAATGTAAAAAACCAACATTACTCATGACCACGACCCACGAACAACTCGTTTTATCCCCTAAATTGCTTTACTATCACGCCACGATTTAATTACCAGTAACCTCGTGTATAAATATATATATATATAAATATATATATATAAATATATATATATATAAATATATATATATAAATATATATATATATATATATATATATATATATATATATATATATATATATATGTCGTACCTAGTAGCCAGAACGCACTTGTGAGCCTACTATGCAAGGCCCGATTTGCCTAATAAGCCAAGTTTTCATGAATTAATGTTTTTTCGACGACCTAACCTACCTAACCTAACCTAACCTAACTTTTTCGGCTACCAAACTTAACCTAACCTATAAAGATAGGTTAGGTTAGGTTAGGTAGGGTTGGTTAGGTTCGGTCATATATCTACATTAATTTTAACTACAATAAAAAAAATTGACTTTATACACAATGAAATGGGTAGCTTTATCATTTCATAAGAAAAAAAATAGAGAAAACATATTAATTCAGGAAAACTTGGCTTATTAGGCAAATCGGGCCTTGCATAGTAGGCTGAGAAGTGCGTTCTGGCTACTAGGTACGACATATATATATATATATATATATATATATATATATATATATATATATATATATATATATATATATATATATATATATATATATATATATATCATGTGTGTAATGTTCACCGGCGTCATATTCTTACAGGATAGCTGCACCGAGCCTTCTATCGCCTCTTAAGTCATATTCCTATCAGAATAGTCTCACCGAGAGCCTTAGTACTCAGAAGCAAGTGAAACAGAAATTACAGAATGTCTCAAATGGTCACAGACAAGAAGATTGTTATTGCTACAGAATTTTATAATATTTTCCGCCACGGGTTAAGATGCAACCCAACTCATGAGACAATTTTAGGGACCCTACAACCCATCTTCTCAACTATTAGGTCGCGTTTTCTTTACATAGTGGTAACCATCGTTAGAAATACAATCTACTATGAAAAGTAATGGCTTATATATATATATATATATATATATATATATATATATATATATATATATATATATATATATATATATATATATATATATATATATATATATATATTCACGTTTTCTATGCATGTAACTCGAAAGGTTAGGTGGGTTGCTTGGGTTTGTACGTGTCTGGTTAGATTAGAAGATTGGATTTTTTAGGTAAATGGCAAATTAAGAGAACGAGCTGCCAAATTATATCGTAGAGGAAAATATATTATGTAAATGAATGGCCACAACTGTGATAGGTGGTGAATCCACTAGGCCTATGATAAAACATTAAAGACACATGATGGGATCGAACATGTGTTCAAACACACGATCGAACACGTGTTCGAACACACGATCGAACATGTGTTCGATCTCCTCAGCTACACACACACACACACGCACGCTGGTTCGATCCCATTAAACTGCTTTAACACTTTCTCACTGAAACGTCACGTTATTGTGATCCCTTTGTGCAGTAGGCCTATCTAAGCCTCCAACCCACTACTGCCCGTGACGACAACTATAACAGCTCTTGAGGCGATTCGCGTCCGTTTGATATTGTTATACAGTTTTGAGAGTAATTATAGACGGCGTCATGGACTCACAGGTGGGAAAACCACAAAGATCCCTCGAATGCAGTTTCTTTTCATCGTTGAGGCTTAGGGTCCTCGCTAATTTATCTCGAGATGGTACTCCGATGGAATTATCCTGATAATAATGTCTTACTTAAGCTAAAATTCTCTAATCTAAAATTCTCTAATCTTTGGCTTGTTATTCTCTAATCTTGATTGTCATTTGAGCGTTATATTGTGGGTACAATCATACAGCTACTGAATGACAAAATAATTAAGAGAAAGTAAGGCAACAGAAAACAGGAGGAAAAAACAGAAGTGTAAATGGAAGCATAATAGGAGAAATAAGAGAAAAGAGGACGAAGATGAAAAAAGGACAGAAAAAACAAGAAGAGACAAGGATGTGAGAGAGACGATGAGATGAGGATGATGGTATAAAACGAAGACAAATAGAGAGGAATATAGAACAAAATAGAACAAAACGAGGAAAAATAAAACACAAAATGGAAAAAAAAACAGGACAACAAAAGAATGATAAACGAGGCAAAAATATAACGCATTAAACAGGAATTTCCTATTCGTAATTATGAAGATGATAACGATGGAACAGCCATTAGAGCGGCAGGAATTCAGGCCTAAGGTATATAACTATTCTCGCCGCTAATTATACAAATAATTACAAGGGTTATGGAAAACGGAGAATGGTAGGCAACACTGCATTATCCCGTCAAACACACACCGAAACTACGACGTTGGTACAACGTTCGAACAAGTTTTAACACCTAACCAGTTATAACAACCAATATAGCAAGTTGTAACAACGTTCTAATACGTCATAAACACGTTAAGCCAAGATGTAACAACTTTATTACAAGTTGTAACAAGCGGAAAATAGAGACAGTTTCGGTTTGTTTCCAGGGTTGTACCTTACAAAACAGAAAACGGTTATCCAATGCAGCGGTGTTTCTTAATAAGATCCAAAAAGTACCACACTTTGTTAAATAATGTAAGGAAAACGTCCTTCAACCCAGCCTCCTGACATGATAGTACTTATAGTAACTATTTAGTGGAAAGTACCAATGTGTAGTGATGGATCACCTGTGAACTACTTTTGGTAGTATTAATTTTATGCAGTACAGGAAAAAAATCAAGTTTAAACCAAACTTAACTATTCGTAGGCCTAGTATAGCGCATATATTGCAAACTAGTTGATAGGTTCGGTTGATAGATCCGGTTGATGGGTCCGGTTGATGCCGCCTTTCTCGGGCGCTCCACAAGCCAACAGTACAAAACATGAACTATTGTGTGGGGTGCAAAGTACCATCGCTATTGTTGGTACAACAGCGAACATACAAAAGTGAGCTACTCTCAAACCGGTCATGAGACATCCCTCATAAGAACAAAAAAAGGGTAAAACCGAACATAAAAAGCATTAGCAAAAATATTTCTAGACCTTCAGCAATGTACATTAAGAAGTACAATGAAGTACAATGTACTTCAATTAAGTACATTAAGAAGTGTACATAATAAAGTATAAAAACCGCGTGTAGAGAAGTCAACCAATACCATACTGCAGAACGCCACTGAACTTCGAAGAACAAAATAACAGACTAAGAACATAAATAGAACACAATAACAGGCTAAGAACATAGAACACAATAACGGCATACACAGCCCCACACAAGAACACACCTCCTAATACAGTGTCGTCTCACTAATACACGCCAGAGAAGGAGTCTATATCACATATACTTAAGCTACTTAAACTCTTCAAGCTATATATTATGGCTTCCAGTTGCGCATCTTACATCCTGACTTACGAGCCGTCTGTAAGTCAGGTTAAGTTATCTTCCCAACCCAAGTCGAAGGTAATTAGCTTCTCGCCTATACCTCCTGAATTGGCAATTAATAAAATTAATGATTAATGTGAGAAAAAACTTTGTTACAAATAATTTTTCTTATTAATAATTTTGGAAATTATATATATATATATATATATATATATATATATATATATATATATATATATATATATATATATATATATATATATATATATATATATATATTGGTGTATACTGGCAGCAGGTTTTCTTTCAAACATGTTTCATTGAATATGACCGCATATTCTGTATTTATTATTTTCTGGTTTAGGGCTTCTATCCCTCTAACTATTTTCTTAGCATCAGGGCTTAATTGAAATAGGAGTTCTCCAAAACTCATTTTCGTACTTTTAAGGTGAAGAAAAGAAGTGATTTACTATAGAGTGTATTACACTTATTTGAATAATTTGCACGACGTTTCGAACCTCCATGGTTCATTCTCAAGTGAACAGATCTTACAATACTAGTTGATTTTATACCCGCATTAGGTCAGGTGATAATACAATGAAGGTGAAAACATGGGGGGATACATAAGGGATAAACATAGGGGCTGCAGAAGGCTTATTGGCCCATACGAGGCATCTCCTATCTAAACACAAAGATTCATCCAGTGTAATTGGCCTGTTATGTTGGACATTGTCTTCTGTGTTGGCATCGATATGTTCTTGTCTTGTCCTTACATATCGATGCCAACACAGAAGACAATGTCCAACATAACAGGCCAATTACACTGGATTAAGCTTTGTGTTTAGATAGGAGATGCCTCGTATGGGCCAATAAGCCTTCTGCAGCCCCTATGTTTATCCCTTATGTATCCCCCCATGTTTTCACCTTCATTGTATTATCACCTGACCTAATGCGGGTATAAAATCAACTAGTATTGTAAGATCTGTTCACTTGAGAATGAACCATGGAGGTTCGAAACGTCGTGCAAATTATACAAATAAGTGTAATACACTCTATAGTAAATCACTTCTTTTCTTCACCTTAAAAGTACGAAAATGAGTTTTGGAGAACTCCTATTTCAATTAAGCCCTGATGCTAAGAAAATAGTTAGAGGGATAGAAGCCCTAAACCAGAAAATAATAAATACAGAATATGCGGTCATATTCAATGAAATATATATATATATATATATATATATATATATATATATATATATATATATATATATATATATATATATATATATATATATATATATAAAACGGAGGAAAGGGTCCTGAAAGATATTGTTGATAGGAACGTTATCCCTACAGACAAAAATCTGAAAATATAATTGACGATTTACTATAAAACCAAAAAAAAAAACGGCCAAACTACTCATGAAAAACTCTCCAGACACAAAGCAGAACGTCTTGAAGGAAACCAACGTCGTCTATGCCTTCAAATGCCCACTTGGGGACTGTAAGCCCC